AAGTAATTAGCAATTACATCTAGTAGCTCATTTCTTCCTTGGAATTCGCTTTCGTCCAATCCATCTATTACCATCAGATAGGTTAAACCAGGGTCGTTCAAGCTGGCTAGAGGTTCCTCAAACAGCACTTCAAACAGATCCTTTACTTCCATGTTGTTTATCTCCACACCCAGATTTCTTGACAGCTTTCCCACGAGAGCTTCCTTGTAGTCTGGCAGAGAATCACAGAGCTGACTGGCTAAGGACTGTAGCATCACCTTGGGATTCCTCTGGCGCGACCTGTCATGCTGACAAAAGTGGCTTCCAGCTAGCCGTCCAACCGCTTGCATTTTTTTACACATGACAGCTGAGATTACAGACTTCCCCATCCCAGCATTTCCACTGATCACCATCACACGATTTGGAGAACTTCTGTCATATAACCAACTCTCGACTTTGGAAAAGATTGACAAACGGGTTCCCTCTACGCATCTGTCTGCGTGATATCTTACATTTTTCATGGTGTCAATCTTTGCGAGTTTTTTGAGTATGCCGTCTTCTCTGTACTTTTTTCTTTGACCTTCCACGTCTTCTTGCCACTTCACTTTTTTAACGTTGCTACCTTGCACTGTCTCACGATCACCTAGTTGGGTCTGGCGTTTTTCGTCAATAGTTTTCTGTGTAACAGCTACAGATTGGCACTTAAGTACATCTTCCACTATTACCTTGATATCCTGAATTGCTTTCTGACCTTCTAGTTGAGTCTGACGTATGTCCTTCAGCTGTGATTTGATATCCTCTTCACTTTCAGCCCAGTCAAACAACACGTCAATGAATTCTTCCTCCCCACAACGCTCTGCCTTCAATCTATCAATTTCCGCCTGAGGCAAACCAAGAGCAGCAAGAACAGCACCAATTTCCAGCCACAGAGCAGAGAAAGTAGGTGTATTAATACCAGTACTGGTAACATGACCGTACAACTCATTGCGGAAAAACTTGATGCGAGCAAGGTTTGCCTCAACAGAAGTGTCACTAAGGGGTGGCTTAGTGTGCCAACCCGAGGGGGGAGGGGAGAGTCCACAAATGTTGGTTAGAAGGAGGAATAACAAAGTGATATCAAATGTGTTTGAGTCTGGTGTGGCCCCACTAGGTGGGAATAGTAGGTCCCACTGAGGTTTATGTAAAACCCTCCTCCTTAAGAGATTGTTCAGAGTGTGATAGTTTGCACTGAGATCAACCAGCAGATCTGCTGGGGGATGATATCTGTCGAAAATCGTCCTAAGAACCGTTGATCCACCATCAATGAGAAGTCTACTCAGCTTGGCTCCATTTGTCTTCTCCACAGAGCTGGCCAGGGGTGAAGGGGCAGCAGCTGCCATCTTAATCAAACGAGCAAAGAGGTAGAGTTTCAGTCACACCTGCATGAGGTAGAAAAGTATTTTTTTTCTGTTCTTAGTTCATTCTCTTAGCAAATACATGGCATTTCTAGCTAGGGCTTTCAGTCACGATATTGCTTGCTGTGCAATTGAAAAGGCTGCCATTGAAAAGACACATTTTCCTTGAGTTTCAGCATGATCAAGGTTACCTACTATAATGACTATGGAATACGGGCTTGGATGCTGTCGCTTTGCACGCATTGTGGTCCCGTTAAGATCAAAAAATTGTCCAAAAATAATTCATTGCTTCCAAAGGTGATAGAGGCTGGGCCAGTGACCCAAGGCAGCAGTTTTGAACTTTGCGTCTTTTCTTACAACGATGTAATGCTTCTAGTGTCTTCTTTTTCTTGCACAATGCATTCCAAGCATTGAAGTTCAAACAATAACTACACTATAACTTTAACAATCGCTTCAATAACAGAACTGACTGATGACATCATCTGTTTGGCTGTACAGGCGTCAGAGGTTGGCCACAGTCAGCGAGAGCTTTCCAATTAATTGTTCATGGATATTTCATTTTTAAATGTGAAATAGATATATGATGTAACGAAAAAAATCCCAAATGTTTAACAGAACTCAAATCACTCTCTCATAAAATCAAAAGATCAGGCTTGGCTGCCAATAGTTGAATTACGTATATACAAATTGAGTTTTCTTTGGTAAAAATGCCTACCCTTCTGTGACTTTCACCACTAATTTTACCTCCCTTATATCTGAAATCCCCCTTCCAGGGGGGGGGGGGGGGGGGGGGGCCCCCATAAGTCGAGGATTTCTTCTTCCTGTAAGAANCAAGGGAAGGTACTCTACAAAGTTACATATGGGAAGGCTCCGATCTGAGGTCCAGCCTCTATACCCTTTTGGTACTCTACAAAGTTACATATGGGAAGACTCCGATCTGAGGTCTAACCCCTTTCAAATGGTACCCCTTTCAGAAACCTACTTAAGAACATATCATCTCTTTTCCAAACCTTTGAAATGAAGTTTATGATGTAGAGCTTAATAAATTACATGATACTGATGTAGGGTGTGTTTGTTGGAGATATTTTAATTGAGATCCTTTTTGAATTTCCTTCACCCTTCATATACCTCAACTTGTGAACCCCTTAACCTTTAATATACGTGAAGCCTGAACCTTTCAAGCAGAACCTCCCTGTATAGGCCATTATAACAAGGAACCACCCTGGCTAAAATCAAATCCCTTTATAATATTTTGTACCTGCCAAATTCTTGCACAATATGTCTTCACAAACAAATAATTATAATCTTTCCCATGGATAATAACTCAACCAACATACAATCCCCAGGATAATCTCATTCATTTAGGGAGAAAAACGGTAGTCTTCTGAAGTAGACAGCTGACACTGATTAGGGTGCAAAGGGAAAAGCTTCTAGGGAGGTCTAGGGGCAGGCAAAGAATTTTCAGGGATTAGAAAGACATTTTCTCAATTTTTATCTCATACTGTAATTAAAAAATCATACACCACACCCATGCCCCCTCCTAAGCTACAGCCTTTACTGCCCTGAGACAAGGACAGTCAGGGTTCAGTCACATTGTAGAAAACCTTTGTTTTCCCATATTACACTTTACAACTCAACACATATTATATCATAACTAGAGGGACAATTGCAGATAGTGCTGAGTGCAATGTATAGTTCTGGCACGCTAGTTACACAGGTCCTCACCCCTGCCTGCCTCACTTCCAGTTTGTAATTACATTTGTACCTACATCAGTGAACCAGTCCCCTCAAAGGCTGATTAAATTAATTTGCACTTTCATTAGGTGCCACAGAGTCTGCAGCATTCTTTGGGCACTTTCCTAGTTTCTTTTGTCACCAACGAATCATGTTAGGTTTTACCACAAGGAAATGCACCCAGCGTTTGTGTGTGATTCCGTATGAAATGTACCTCTCGCCTAATATATAGTCGAAACGAAATGCTAACTAATCTGTGCATGTGTTTAGAGCAAACTGGTTTTGTTTTAAAGAGAATAGTACCACAAGGAGAGCAAGGGGTTTACTAAAACAAATAATTATATAGTTTTGTGATGTTACCCATAAAGTAAGGTCTAGGTATGACACATTTTTACGTAGTGCACACAGCCACCTACCCCACCCCAACCGCTTCCTTGTCTATGGCTAATTAATTAATTGATATTAATTAATTAAACAAACACTAAAGTTTACACCTTATTGCCTTAGTACTTCATTGCCTTGTTGCCTCGTTGCCGTATTGCCTTATTGCCTTATTACCTTATTACCTTAATACTTTAGCTGACGTCAGCCCCAAAGCATGCCAATAGTGCACTCTGCACTAAAAAGTAAGCGGCTCATAAATCGAAGTAGCCGGGTTTTTAGCTGGTGATCAGCACTTATTTTTGAGATACTGTTACAGTAAGGTGACAGCTGGATTTGACCATCACTGTCACAAAAAAGTCACACATTCAAATTGAAAAGCAGCCTTCTCTACCCATTGGGTATACACTATTACAACACACATTGCTTGCAGGGAGCTTTGTAGCTGTAGGGCATCACACAGACTGGCTAGTAGTTATCAAGATTCACTGGTGTTTACCCAATATTTCTGTCAGCAGTGATCTCTTTAAACTATGTTTGCATCACATTAGTTTAGAACATATTTTAGATGCTGTCTGATTGAGTAACCCTGATTAAAATTTAGCACTTATGTTGAACATTTTAATTGTAGCTTGTAAAGTAAGGTACTGTTATAGTAAGCTCTGGACGTAAAATAATCATACCATCCAACCAGTGTGTCCTCCAGTTAGTCAATTCTCTGTCCTTTAAGCTTCATCTCTACTTTCACTGCAAATCAAGATTAAAATTATTTTAATTAATAATTTAAACATAATAAGATATGCTCTAAGAAACTAAAACAGGGCAGTTAGAGATTAACTTCATTTTCAAAAAAAATAACTTTTATAACTACAATCATGGACAAAAGTGTTGGGACAAATTTGCACTTTTGGCGCTTTTGCGTACACGCCAGGCATGAATACAATTTCACCTACCTAACCTCGCCCCCACCCCCCATACAATGTTGAACACTAGTATGTGCAATTTCAGCTGATTTTCAACATTGTGTTGGGGGGGAGGGGGGACAGCAACCCATTTATAAAGGATATAGCAGTGTTTTCTTCATACTTCAGTTCTAAAACACAGATAGTCCGTTATATTACATAAGTGTCCCAAGGACTTTTGTCCACGATTGTAGTTATTTTTTTGAAAAAGACTCAGTGTGCTTCTGACATTGTTACATTTCATGCATTAAATTCCTGAAACATTTTTAAATTCAGTAGTATTGGTTTCAAAAGATTAATAAATTGCCTCATCTGCAACAAAAAAGCGTCCCAATTAGCTATTCAACTGTTCTGAAAAACATTAGGAAAAATATTCTGTCTTGCTGTTACTATAAATTGACTTTATTTTTGCAGCATATGAAAATCATAACCGACCAACTCCACTCCAACTAGCGTAGCCCCACATCTTAGAGAATTTGGCAACCCATCAAGCCGAGAAAATTTGGTCGTCACATAATTGTCTGCACAACATCCATACGTGTGCCACTTGCTCTGTGCATGTGTGAGTTTTTCAAGGTCCTGTTTTTGTTTATATTACCTCTTTTGGCCAAACAATGGAAAAAAAAGAAACACCAAACAGTGTTCAAGAGGCACTGATGAGGAACATCCGGAGGGTAGAGAGTCCTTGTCTAGTGAAGAATGGCTGGGGAATTTTTCTTTCCTTTGATGGCTGAAAGACATGACCATCAATGAATGCGCTTTCAACTGAGGTTTGAAATTATACAGATCACCAATTTAATGCAGCTCCCAGGACTTTAGAAAACAAACTGGTAATGTGTTTAATGTTTTGAAGCTGGATTCGATTATTTAAATAACTATATGGCTGTAAAATTGACTGCAAAGTTGTGGGAAAAAATAATTTTTCAATTACGCTTCAGCACGAATAATTTTAACAATAATAAATTGTATATACCATAGTATATACCAATAAGCACCATGATAAAAACAAAGTTACTTAAAAATTGATTCCGAAGACAGCAGAAAGTCCTTTGGAATTTTAAATTATGGCCTGATTCACGCGCAAAATGGGCAGCAGCACAAGAAGAAAGTCACATGATTCATCAGGTGACCAACAAGACAATTCAAACATGTTCACTTGTTTTGTATGTTTAGTAAAATTACAAAATGCTAAACACACTGGGAAAATGGTTGATTCAGTGATCAATCTAAAAGCTCATTACAATCTTCACAGCGTTTGTTGGAAGTTTCTGCCTGGACGATTTATGCAGACTGAGGTGAGCTGCGGTGAGTAACGTTTTGTTGTAGAAACAGCCATCAATAATATTGTTTTCCAAAACTTTTGAAGGCACAGCCACTGGTCACTTTGCTTTGGTGAGATATAACGTCAAAAGGAGTTGTATTAAAGCCTTCCAGATTTGAAAGCGTGCTCTTAAAACATTTTATAAATGCCATGATCGTTTTAATTTCGCTAACCACTAAACAATAACACTGGAGTTGCTTTGTTGATCAAAGTTGTTGTAAATAGAATAGTTTTGTGTCTGTTTTCAGACTTTTCGTCGCTAAATTAACAACTAAAAGCAATAAAACCATATTTGTTAATAGAAGCCAAATTTTGTAGTTTTCTTCTTTAAAGGTTATTGGTAAAGGACAGATAAAGCTATGACTGTAAAGTTGTCGCCAAAAATAATATTCAAATTACGCTTTAGAGTGAATAATTAAGGTATTTTCAACTAATATTCTTAAACATTCTTTTATTCGGAAATTTTTTGATGAGAAATTTGTGCTTTTTAAAAAAGTGCACAACAGTTGCTAAATGACACTTGCACAGAGTGATTTGTGTATTTTGTTTATGGAGATTTCCTTGTTTTGTTTGTTTAATTCAATCAGTTTGGTTAAATGCTTATACTTGAATAGTGGCAGGTGGAGTTGGTATGTACATTAAGAAAGGTATTCAATATAGTGTTAGACACGACCTTACTTCTAGCACTGATGAAAGTGAAATGTTATGGGTTGAAATTGAGAGTGATTTAAACAACAATATGATATGTGGTGTAGTATACCGACATCCTTCTTCCAATCTTGAAATGTTTCTAAATAAGTTTTACTTGGTTATTGGCAAAATCAATCAAAAGAGGAAACTCTGCTTAATATCTGGTGACTTTAACATTGATCTTTTGAACTTCGATAAACATCCCTAAACAGAGGATTTTATTGATACTCTGGGTTCTTTTTTTCTAGAGCCCCACATACTGAAACCAACAAGAATTACCAATCATTCCTCTACAGTGATTGATAATATATTCTTTAATTCTATCGAATATCAAACAGTCAGTGGGAATTTATTACATGATCTAATAATATACATGAAAAAATTACTCGATTCTGATTGGCTGAGAGCAGTGCAGTTCAAGTGTAACACCAGTGCAAAAAGTGTAACACCGGTGCAAAAAGTGTAACACCAGTGCAAATTGGCTGAAAGACAATAGGAAATTTTCCAGGCCAATGATATTACGTAAAATGATGACGAAAATTTTGTCTGGAGACGTTGAAAAACGTTTTCGCAAATGCAAAAAAATGGCTTCAAGAAAGGTCTTCCGGCACTTGCTCGGCGCAAATTTTTTCATGTGTATACTATTAATAAGTAATCATACAGTTTTTCTCATTCAATTTGGAATTAATTTGCACTTGTGAGTTTTTCAAAAAGCTGAAATTGCACTCACCGAAGCAGCTCGTGCAATTTCAACTTTTTGAAAAACTCACTCGTGCAAATTAATTCCAAATTGAACTCGAAACCGTATGATTACCTATACTAATAGACCATTTGCCTAATTTTCTCATCATCGAGAGTTTTGCTTTATCAATACATAAAGAGAAAAGCTTTAGAGGAGATTATTCTAATTATAATGAAGAAGCTTTATTAAGTGAATTTAGATCCATTGACTGGTCTAATTTATTGCATGGACTATCAGATACTACTGAAATGTTTGATAAGTTTTATACGAAAGTAAGCAATATTAATAGTCATTTGTAACGTAATATATGCTATGAAGTAATTAGCATTTTCCAATACAAACCCATACTGGGCTACACAAGTCGAAATTACTGTAGTAAAGAGTCTTGTACAGCTCAAATTCTGGCTATATGGCATAATGATTTTCGGAAATCTCATTTTTATTTATCAGTAATTTCGACTCTTTACTACAAGAGTCGAAACTACTGTACTGTAGTATTATTGTACTGAGTTTTCCTATGAGAATGTGGGCCACCATAACGATCCTTCGATCTTAATTCATCAAAGCAACCTGCATTCGATATAAGTGATTGCATGAACCCAGGAGCCAACGGGAACTAAACATAAAACTCTTGAATTTTGGAATTTTTCTCAATTAAGAGCTCCAGCTCTTTACAACAGAGTGAATGATTTTTCTGCAAAAACCCAAGCTGGTTCTTACTCACAGTTTACTAACATTCCTACCTCTATGCCGTCAATCATATTTTTACTTCGAATTCCACAGAACAAGACCTGCAATAGATGAGAATAATTCACCGAAGACGAAGAAAGTTTGGCACAAATTACTGAACATCGATCGAGGAAATCCGAAAGCAGAAGTGANTTACTTCGAATTCCACAGAACAAGACCTGCAATAGATGAGAATAATTCACCGAAGACGAAGAAAGTTTGGCACAAATTACTGAACATCGATCGAGGAAATCCGAAAGCAGAAGTGAATCCTTCGATCACAGAAATAAATGTTCAAACAAGCAAATAGAAACACCGTGTTGTTATTAATAGGTCACGGAAAATGAATATTCTAAACTAACCTTGCTGTCGAAAACGAATCCGTAGTTCGGCAAGGGTTGATAGTTTCAAATCTCAACTCAATAGCGAATACCTCCCTTCATTTTCCCTTCCTTGGGATGCACACCAAAGTGATAGTAAAACCCGCATGGAGATCTGGGACAGACCCAGAGTTCCAAACGCACAAAGTCTGCAGTGGCGCTGAAATTTAAACTTGTGAACTGTGGAATACTGTCATGAAAGAGAATTGCACAGCTCAAATTCAGGCTATATGGCAAGATGACTTTCGGAAATCTCATTTTTATTCATTATTCACTTTGATGCCCATGGAAGGGTTCCTAATCGGTTTCATTGACTTCCTAATCGGTTTCATTGACTTTTAATTCAATGAAACCGATTAGGAACCCTTCCAAATGAAACCGACTTACTACAGTAAGTCGGTTTCATTGACTTTTAATTTTAAAAATTTTAAGGCTTCTACAGCCCACAGTTTCAGTTTAAGGGGGTCTTATACATAAATTTTTCTTTTTTTGCAAAACAACTCTGTGGAACAGTTTTAGTACCACGTTAAAGGACTTTGCACTCTGACTTCAAAAATGAGCTTTTCCAGGTCACGTGCCACGATAGTTAATGAAAACTACCTCCTAAGTGTTAAAAAGTGGTGTTCATCATAAAAACGATAACGTAATAATGAATTGTTCGAGAAGTATGGAATTAAGTTCATCCTGTTCAAGAGCAAGTTGTCCAGGAGATTGCGTGATCAGCAACAGCGGAAGCGTGACCCACTTGCGTTAGGGCTTTAAAATGCTCGACCTTTCTGTCATGCAGTCGTCGCTTTGTTTTGCCGATATAGAAAGCGTCACAATCCCAGCAGCTGGCTTTGCGTACGACTTTAGATTTTTGCGAGCGATTTAAACGATCTTTGTAAAGAAAAAAGGACTTAACTCGGCAAGTGTTCTGAAAAATCAACCTAAGATTGACGAAACCAAAAAATTTATTAATACAAGATTTAAGACGGCGTTTAAAAACTTCGCTTCGGAAACCTAAATAAGGAAGCACAAGGACTACATCTCTCTTGGGAACCGTGGTAACAGTTTCGGAAGGTCTGTTCCTATGCTTGTTTAAGACATCATTCATATTGAAGGAAATTATGCCTTTCGGGTAACCATTTAGAAGCAGTGTTTTCTTTAAATCAGAGAGAACAGCCGGTAATGAAGAAAATGTTGAACAGATGCACAAACAGCGATATCTGAGAGTATAAGACCCCCTTAAAACAATAATATTTTACATGTACGGACCACTCGAGATCTTTACTGATTTCTTCCTTTATTAAGAGATTAACAGAGGTCACTGATTTGACTCGATAGGTATCCGGTTTGAGACTCCGGTTGGTCCTGTATCACCCTACACTGTCATCTCTCTTTATACATCACTCAATTCCAGCAGTACCCATCCCCGCCCCTGGGCAACCGGAGGCATTTCCTCACGTTGTCAGTCCCGGGGATGGGGCATTCGCAATTTTATCGTGGCCCGGGGGCTGGGCATTTGCGTAACCCGGGGGTGACCCCCGGGCATTTGACACACGTGTTTTAGAAAGTACCATGGATGAGTTCATCGGGAAAGACGAGGCGTTTGTCGAGCAATGGCTTGTCCGTCAGGGAGTAGAGAAACTTGTAGATGTTTTTAAAGGTATGTTTTCTCAATTTGAGATATTTCTTCGTTACTTGTAAGCATATAAACATAAGTTACAAGGTGAACTATATTTTAATTTGTTTATCACAAAACAATAACTCTCGTGAACACGACTATTTCGCATTTCGCATTCAAAACTAGCCTAGCATTTTTTAAATTCATGAAAGTGGAGTTAAAATACATCAGGTTTGCAAATCCAAATGATGCGATCTTCAAGACAGATCTTGCGAGCTCAAATTGCAATGCATCATCATTTAATGATAATTGCTTTATTGTAAACATTGTTAGCGGGATTGTCGTTGTTCTAGTCGAAATATTCAAAACAAATGGTTTTCATACAACAAAACATTTAATATCACGCTATCCTCTGGCAAACTTTTAAGAACAAAATATAAAGAAATAAATATAATCAAAATCACCTAACATGTACTGTTGTCCTTGAAGTCTTACAGTTGCATTAAAATACTGAACAGTTGAACATTTTATTCACTGATTAATAAAAAAACTGCAGGGGTGTTGGAAGGTGACGATCCCGGGGGCGGGGCATTTGCCCTCTTTCTTCGTC